GTCTAGTGCTGTGGAGTACTGGGGAGTGTCTTGTGTGAGGGCTTTCCTCCCTTTTACCAAGAACACCACACTGCATTTCTTCTTTGATATGCTTCCACTGGCTGTACCAGGAAACTCTGCCTTTACAGCAGAGAAGGAGGCAATGGTAGCTATGTCTACAAATACCCCACAAGCTCTGGGAGGCACACGTCAAGCTTTCCCCAAAGCTCCCTCACTCCCCACTACTACACTCCCAGAGTGCCACAGGCAGGTCTTAACAGGCATCATGCCAACAGTGAGATACTTATCTCCTAATCCTACAGAGGAAAGAGGGAGAGGAGCCACTATAACTTGCCATTAGAGTGCCTACTACATGCTGGCTTGCCTGCCCTCACATTAGCCTTCTGCTTTTATAGACTTTGGGAGTGGCCTGCAGAGATACTTGAGGCTAACAGAGTCAGTTCAGCAGCTTCTTTATAATAACCAAGAGGGAGATGTCTGGCCCCAATTATTAATTAGGCCTTGGAGGCCTCTCTAAAATGTAAAGTTTAACCATTCTTTGTTCTTGGCTTTGGACTGCAGGTACCAATTCCAAGGCAAAAGCAAAGTCATCCTCAGTATCCTCTCCTATCAGGGGTCTTTGTTTATTTTTCTTCCGCTTGCATAACTTAAAAGAAATTTGAAACGGGAGCTATTCCTTCGCACATTTTTTAGTTGATATGTAAAATCTCCCCATGTTTGAAAAGTTGTAAAGGGTTCCATGTCCTGCACATTGTAAACGCTGACTTGAAAACTTCACAGGACCAATTCCCAGCCTACACAAATATGATCGTGCACTCCCTCTGCCCATCACCCATATTCAACAAACTTTAAGATATTGCCACACTTGCTTTATCTATCCCTTTTTTGTTATCACTGTTTTTGCTGAAGTCTTTCAAAGAAATCAGATGGCCCATGTCATTATATACTCCATCTTCAGCTTGCTTTTCTGAAAGTATGAACGTTTTGTGAGAAAACCACAATGTCATTCTTGTAACTAACAAAACTAAAAACAATTCTGTGAAATCTATTCCAGTTCCCTACCACCTATGTGTGATAGTCAGCCTCCAAGATGACCCCAGATGATCCCCACCCTCTGGTCTTCAAACTCTTGTATGGTATCCTCTTATGTTGCACCAAAGTTAGTCTGTGCGACTAATAGCATACAGCAGAACTGATGATATATAACTTCCAATATGAGGTTAAAAAAGGCTGGCTTCTATTTTGTGTATTCTCTCACATACCTGCTCTGTCCGTCTTGGGTCACATATACTGGGGAAAACAAGCTGCCATGCTGTGATCTAGCCTTGTGTAGAGGCCTGCATAGTGACGGACTAAAGCCTCTGGCTAACTACTGGAAGGGAGCAGGGACCTGCCAACAACCATGTGAGTTAGTTTGGAAGTGGATTTTCCAGTCCCAGCCAAGATCTGAATTGACTGCAGCCCTGGCCAACAGCTTGACTTCAACCTCACGAGAGACCTTGAGGCAGAAATTTAGCTAAGCTGCTCCAAGATTCCAGCCTCTTAGGATGTGTGTAATACAATTGTTGGCTGTTTTAAGTTGCTAATTTTTAGGGTAATTTTTAAATAGCGGTAGAAAAAACCAAATTACTGTATAACACTACCCCAAAACTTAGCAGCTTAAAAAAACAAGGCCTTATTTAAGACCTTTATTATTCTGTGGAGTGACTAGGCTGTTCTGCTGATCTTGCTGAATGAGGTTCACTCAAGTGGCTGCATTCAGCAGACGAGTTGTCAGGGTGCTTAACTCATTCGGAACATCTGGGATGACTGGACCTTTCTCTTCAGTCTTTAACCCTGGTCTTTTTCAAGGGCATGTCAGTTTCAGGGAAGCATTTTAAGTGGTCGGAGGCAACATTTTCAAGGACCTTTCTTCAGCTTCAGGCTCTATAATTCATACAATGTCATATTTATTATATTCCATTGGTCAAAATAACTCAAGGGAAGATCAAATTCAAAGCACTGGGGGAAAAACACACCACCTCTTGACAGCAGGAGCAGTAATGTAATGTGGCAATAGTTTTCAATCTACCCCAGTTCTCTTCTAGGCACAATTACTTACATTCTCACCTTGTATAACATAGCTTATCTTTTCCTCTCAAATTTGAATCTCATTATGACATTTGGCTCAGGCTCAAATTCTTAGTCTCATTATCTAAGTCTGATCCAAATGTAAATTAGGCTCATACATGTAGTTCATCCAATATATTTCTAGAAGTGCAGTTCTTGACCCTAAGACTTGTCAGATAAAAAGTCATGTTATTTGCCTTCCTCAGATATATCCAAAGGTAAGATAATGCCAGGATACCTACAATAAGCACTTCCATTTTTAAAAAAGGAGGTCCAAAGGTAAACAGGATAGACAAATCTTTAGTTATTCTTACCAAGAAAAAAAGAGAGAAGACTCAAATAAATAAAATTATAAATGAAAGAGGAGAGATTACATCTAAGATTATGCAAATACGAAAAGATCATGAAACAAGTATGAACCATTATACATCAACAAACTGGGTACTCTAGAAGAAATGGATAAATTTCTAGAAACATATATTTGACTAAGATTGAATCATGAAGAAATAGAAAATTAGAACAGATTGATTACTAGTAAAAGGATTGAATAAATAATTCAAAATTCCTGGCAAAGAAAATCCTAGGACTAGATAGCTTCATTGGTGAATTCTACCAAACACTTAAAGAAGAATTAATGCCAATTCTTCTTCAATCCTTCCAAAAAATCAAAGAGGAAGGAACACTCCCAAACTCAGTTTACAAGCTCAACAGTAACCTGATACTAAAGCCAGAAAAGGACACTACAAGAAAAGAAAATTGCAGTCAATATCCCTGATAAACACAGATGCAAAAATCCTCAACAAAATGTTAGCAAATCCAATTGAACAGTACATTAAAAGGATCATACACCACGAATAAGTGGGATTTATTCCAGCGATGCAAAGGTGGTCAACATATGCTAATCAATCAACACGATACATCATATTAAGAAGATAAAGGATAAAAATCATATGATCATCTCAATAGATGCAGAAACAAACATTTGAAAAAAATCTAACATTCATTCATGATAAAAAAATCAACGAACTGGGTATAGAGGAAATAAATTTATAAATTTGGTATAGAGGGAATGTACCTCAACATAAGAAAGGCCATATATGACAAGCCCATAGCAAATATCATACTCAATGGTGAAAATGTTTCTTCAGGAGAAAAAAACAAGGATGCCCATTCTTGGCCCTTTTATTCAACATAGTACTAGAAGTCCTAACCCAGAGCAATTAGTCAAGAGAGGGAGAGAGAATGAGAGAGAGAGAGAGAGAGAGAGAGAGAGAGAGAGAGAGAGAGAGATCATTCAAACCAAAAAGGAAGAAAGAAAATTGTTTCTATTTGCAGATTACATGATATTATATATACAAAACCTTAAAAGACTCCACCAGAAAACTGTTGGAGCTAATCAACAAATTCATTTGTTTCCTGTACCTTACTGTACATAGCTAGGAGAAGCCAACTGTCATGTTCAACATTCTGCTCAGGCATGTCTTTAGCCCAAGTTGTAAGTTCATTTATGTGTATTTTCTATTCTCCAAGATTGTTCAGGTGACATTTTGCTAATTGTTTTGCTATTATACAATGTAGATTCTCTTTTTCCTAGACTCAAATAACACTTCTCTGTTGCTTTTCCAGTTTTAACTAGCTGTCTGACATTTCTCAAAACTTTGCTAACAGACTCTCCATTGTTTTCGTAGCCTCTGCCTGCTTCCTGGTCCCATAGACAGTATTGCACCTTTTAGTGCTTTGTTACAACATCACAATGCTTCTGCAAACCAATATTATAAATGTTACCTATTACAAAGTAATAGATCACCCCAAAGTTTAGTGGCTCAAAACAATAACATTTTATGGGACCTCCACCATATTTAAAACTAAGAACATTTCCATCACCCCAAAGATACCCTTGTTCCCCTTTCCAGTCAATCTCCATCTTTGACCTCAAATAACTACTTGGAGATCTTCAGTCTATCTCCATAGAAGAGATATGTTTTTCCTCAAGTTTCATGTAAATAGAATCATGTACTATATACTCTTTTGTGTCTGTAATCTTTTTCACAGCCATATTTTGAAGTTCATCCAATAGTTTATGTTCAAGGAGCCCTATGAACACAAAGCAAGAGAAATACTAATGAAACTACATCTAGGTGCTGTAAAGCCAATGAAAATAATAGAGAGACAGCAAATATTAAATGCATTCAAAAGAAAATAAAGACATTGCCTCCAGAGAAACAATAGATGATAGTTGAATTCTCAAAAAAAAACAAAAACAATGGAATTTTGAAATTATGAAAAGTATATTCTCTGATCATGGTGCTGTTGAGCTGGGTCTATTAAAAATCAAACAGATAACTAGGAAATATTTATACATTTAGAATTAAGAAATACAATTCTAAACAAATGCTAAAAATAATTATAAGTTAAAAATATTTTGATTAAAATGAGAAGTAAATGTCAACATATCAAAATTTTTAAGATGCAGCCACAGCTATCTTTACATGGAAATTAAGAGGAGTGACACTGATGGAAAATATGGAATAAAGACTGCTAGATATCCACTCCTTCATAAAGTAACAAGAACACTGGCAAAAATTGTCAAAATAAACTTTTTCAGAACTCTGGCAATTAACCAAAGGCAACAATCATGAGAGGTGCTGAATCAAGAAAAATGGCCCACAGGGTGCCCGAGTGGCTCAGTCTGTAGAGCACTGGACTCTTGGTTTGGGTTTAGGTTGTGATCTCAGGGTCATGGGATCAAGCCCTGTTTGGGGCTCCACACTCAGCATGGACTCTGCTGGAGATTTGCTCTCTCATTCATGCACACACACACACACACACTCTCTCTCTCAAATAAATAATTATATAAATAAAATCTTTAAGAAAAAACAAAAATGGCTTACAGTCATGGTAAAAATCAGCCAGTTCCTGGGGTGTCAGAGCAGAGATTAAACTTTTGTAACCGATTAACAAAATAAAACATCTAAAAACAAACAGAAAAATTTATTAGAATTTAAGGGATAAACTGACAGAACTACATTAGTATGGTGTATTTTTCATAAGTTCTAGTCACTGAAAGATTTAGTAGATTAAATATGCCCAAGGTTATAAAATTTGAATTATACAATAAGTATAACATAACAGATATATGTTGAAAATTTTATACCAAATTTATAACCAAGTAGGAAATAATGAGAATGAAAGATTCTGAGGCACCTGAGTGGCTCAGTCAGTTGAGCATCTGCCTTCAGCTCAGATCTTTCCCAGAATCAAACCCTGCATCAGGCTCCTTGCTCAGTGGGGGAGTCTGCTTTTCCCTCTGTCCCTCACCCTGCTCAAGCTCTCTCTCTCATAAACGAAATCTTTAAGAAAAGAGAGAATGAAAGATTCTCTTTATGATAACAAGACTATCTAACCTGTAGAAATAAAACAAAAGTGAACTGTATGAAACTTACACAAAGAACAGCATAACACTTTACTGAGGGACATAAAGGAAGAATCAACTAAACAGAGAGATGTAAAATTACTCTGAGTTAGAAATATTAGTTGTCAATTTTCCTCATATAAATTCATGATTTAATGGAAGTTCAATTAAAATACCTTTTTTTTGGAAATAGGAAAATGAAGCTCATTTGAGAATATATGCAGTAGAGATGGACATATTTAGAAAGAACTAATAGGAAATATTGTATAGATTTTAATATATATTATAAAGCTACATATTTTGGAATTGGTGTCAAAATAGGTGGATCAATCAGAGGAACATAATAGACATTTCACAAAAATACAAACAGGTATGAATATTTAATATTAATTTCTTTATTTAGCAAGTATTTCCTGATTTCTTCCTGTTCACTCATCACTCTGTAGGTATTGGGGATATAGAGATTAAGAAGACAAAATGTCAGGGCACCTAGGTGGCGTGGCCAGTTGAGCAGCCGATTCTTGATTTCGGGTCAGGTAATGATTTCAGGGTCGTGAAATTGAGCCCTGCATTGAGCTCCACGCTCACTGTAGAGTCTGCTTGAGAGTCTCTCTTTCCCTCTCCCCCTGCCCCTCCTCCCACATGCATGTGTACAATAAATAAATAAATAAATAAATAAATAAATTCTTTTAAAAAACATAAAAATATCTGCTGATGTGAAACATCTGATGCTAAATAAAACAGTAAACAAGTATATATTTAAATATATCACTTCAGGTAGAATTAAGTTGTATAAAGAAAAATAAAGCAGGCTAAAGGTACAGAGTGTGCTGGATGGAATGGTATTTTATTTCAGATGGAATGTTCAAGGAAAGACTTTATGAGTGGGTAACACTCAAGTGGAGATCTGACCTAAATAAAAGAGTGAGCAGTGCTCACTGTCTAGATAATAACAAACAATAAGATCCTTAGGTGGGATTGAGCTTGGCATGTCCAAAGATTAGAGAGAATACTGGTGTGGTTAACAAGGGAAAAATGGTAAGAGATAAATCTGAGAAATAAAGTGACATTTGAAGCTGGTGAGTCCAGTTCAGATATTTCAAGGAGCTCAGTGAGGACACTTGGAAAATCACACCACACTGATTCCACAGGATAAATGTTTCCTTCAAATTATAGAAGAAAGGGCAGCCTGGGTGGCTCAGCGGTTTAGTGCCCCCTTTGGCCCTCGGTGTAATCCTGGAGAACTGGGATCAAGTCCCGTGTCGGGCTTCCTGCGTGGAGCCTGCTTCTTCTTCTTCTGCCTGTGTCTCTGTCCATCTCTGTGTCTCTCATGAATGAATAAATAAAATATTTTTAAAAATAAAGATTTATTTAAAAATAAATTATAGAAGAAAATATAGGTAGATATTTAAATTATCATGGAATGGGTCTGTACTTTCTAAGAATTAAGGTTGTAATTCATAAAGGGTAACACTGATAGATCTGTCTAAATAAAATCTTACAACTTATGTAAGTGAAACGCTGCAAAGACAAACTGAAAGGCAAATAAACTAGAGTGAATATTCACAAATATGAATTATAAATAATTCACATTGTTAGTAGAGGCATAAGTAAGCTCCTACAATTCCTTAATAGACAAACACCCCAATCTAAAAAGGGCAAAGGACACAACTGATGACAACACAAGTAGATATCAAAATGTGAAAAAAAGTGTAATTTTCTTTTTTACTATAGACCAGTATATACAGAGACACCATATACACTGGAAGTAATAGTTTAAATCAGCACCATCTTTTTGGAGAGAAGTTAGGCAGTATTTACTGCAACTCAAAAAGACATATAGTACGTGATCAAACAATTAAGTTTCCAGAAATTTATTCTAAATAAATTATTGAAAATGCTTGCAAAGATTTTAGCTATAAATATGATGTTTATCATATTTACAGAAAAACAGGAATAACAATGTTCAACATTAAGAGATTGAACAAACTCTGACACAGATTCACTTATGTATACATGTACATTCTAGGCAGGATTAAAATTATATTGTGGAAGAATATGGAATGATTTAAAAAGACATTTATGATGTATTCACTGATACAAGGAACTTACAAATATGTATGTTAAAAACCAATATATATGTTCTCCTTTTCCTTTAGCTGTGACTTGCAAACTTTTTGGTGGTCACAAGGTCTTTGAGAGTCTATGAAAGCTATGGATCCTTTTTAAAGAAAATGTACATATGCATACACTTTAAAAAGTTTTGCAGCTCTTCCCTATCTGGTTTTAATCCACCTTTTAATCTTTATATCTTGCAAATTATTAACACTATCCTTGCTTTGAGCACCCTTCTCCACGACACATACACTGTCCAGTCAAACACAGTTTTTTAAGAACACACCATGCCACCATAACTGTGCAAAGCCATTATTCTATACAGTATACTGTATCCATCATTTTCTTAGCTACTTGGTTTTGAAGACCCAGATCATATGTCTTTGGTGAGGCCTTCCTTTATTTTATTCACTCAGTTCTCTATGCTTTGAATTCCTATAGCATATGTATATGTTCTTCTACTCTAAAGTGTATTAGATTGCATTATTTTAATTATCTCTGTGTCTCTCTCTTCACCTTCTTCTCTTTCAACTTGGAATTCCTAAATGCAAGTATCACATGTAGCTTACCTGATTTATTACTTAAAAATTTAGTAGAATGCATAAATAAATGAATGTATTACTTAATTGATTCATGACAGTAATGAATGATAGTGCTTCATAAATCAATTTACTACTTGTATCTGACAGTAGTTTCTGGGTTATTCAGATGTGCTAAAACATCTAGTATGAGTTTAACTCTTTCCCTTTTCTCAGTCTAGTTCTCATCCCCTCACATTGGACTTCTAATAAATCAGTCACCTCTGATATAAAGTGTCGTTATCATGTGGGAGCAAAGAATAATAAGAATTTATTTAAATAATAATAAGAATTTATCTGCATTTATGCAGAAATTCTTTGGGGATTTCTTCCATGATATAGACTTATTATGATAAAATGGAAAAAAAACATTGCAAAGGTCAAAGACATATTATAAAAAAGTGTTTGAAGACATGCAATCATATGATATAGGTTTGGAGCAACGTTAAGGGAGCATGGAACATAGCCCATTCAACCAAGAGCAACTTCACAATAATTCATATCTTTACTTGTATCCCCTGAGTCTTATTAAGGGGACACATAGTCTCTGGAAATGGATCTTAAAATTATCTTTGTTTCTTCCTGTCTTATAAATTTGTCTGATATCTTGGCGCTTCTTATATATATTTCCTCTCAACTCTCCCACTCTGTGGAAATTAGTTTCAGCCTTCAGCTCGAAATACCAGTTATAGTTTTCCTTTTATCTTCCTTTACTTTTTCTCTTTCCTTTTTTAAATTTAAATTCAATTTGCCAACATATAGTACATCATTAGTTTCAGATGTAGAGTTCAGTAATTCATCAGTTGCATATCATATACCCAGGGCTCATCACGTCACTTGCCCTCCTTAATACCCATCACCCAATTATCCCATCCCCCTACCCGCGTCCCCTTCAGCAACCCTCAGTTAGTTTCCTAGAGTTAAGAGTCTCTCATGGTTTGTATCTTCCTTTACTTGTGATCCTCCATTGCTAAAGCCTAAAGGCCTATGTGGCAAGGCTGGACCCTCCTTTTAGGGTGCAGAGAAGGAAAGGGCCAAGAGGCATAGTCCTCTTTTGAAGAGGTATCAGGAGAGAAAGAGCTGTGCATAATAGGATGAATTTTTAACTTGCCATATTATGAAATTGTTGCATGATCTGAAGCAAAGTCACATAACCTCTCTGCTTTCATTCCGTATTTGTACTCATTCACAAGCATCCATGTAAACGTAAAATGAGAAAAAAGAAAACGCTTTACAAATGCTGTACAGATGCAAGTTGGTTTTATTATTATACAAAATGATCCAGGGTCAAAACCAGAAGTAGGGATCCCTGGGTGGCTCAGCGGTTTAGTGCCTGCCTTTGGCCCAGGGCACGATCCTGGAGTCCCGGGATCGAGTCCCACGTCCAGCTCCTAGCATGGAGCCTGCTTCTCCCTCTGCCTGTGTCTCTGCTTCTCTCTGTCTCTTTATCATGAATAAATAAATAAATCTTAAAAAAAACCATGAACCTTAAAAAACAAAACAAAACTAGAAGTATTTTTCAAACATTTTTATATAAAATAGTTTTGATCTTTAATGACCAGAAATATTAGTCATGGTGAATGTTTTTATATAATGCTGGTTCTGGGACCTTCTTTCCTGAAAATATTAAAAGTTAGAATTAAAATCATGAATCCTTTATTACTTGTACAATGTTTAGTTCTTATTTGACTTTTAGAAGTCTAAAGACTTTAAACAATCTTCTGTGATTAATTTTAAGACAGTATTTAAATTCTCTACAGAGCATAACTTAAAGCCTTTTTTATTCGTCTTCCATAGAATCTGTAACGAAGTAGAACTCTTTTCAAATCCTTTAGATTTTTCTGGGACTTGGTGCCATCATGAGAGTTAGGCATTTTATCATTCAAGATCCTGAAAATGACTTTGAGTTAGTCATCTGAGAGTGGAACATGAAACTTCAGAGAATACAAATTTGATTACATTTGAGACTAACTAAATAAAACTAAACAACATATGAGCCCCTGAAAAAAGGCCCAGAGCAACAGAAATATAAGAAAGCTGTGAATCAGCAAAAATCTTACCTTTCTCTTTTTCACTCTTAAGAGTCAGGAGCACCAGCCTCATTAAAAGAGCCAACAGACAAAACCTTTTATAGAGTGGGATCTCCATCTGCTTGGAGAACAGAGGGATCTCTGGAGTTTTCAATATAGTGATATGTCTATGCTGTGTTCCACATTTCCCCTACAGGTTTTGGAAGAAAAAAAAAAAAACAACCAAACCCTGTACTTCTGAATTACTTAACAGGGTTGTTTGGTTGAGGATTAACTCCTGAATTGCTGTGGAGACAGATGTCCCCATCAGCTTTCAAAAGATCTGTGCGTCTGAGAAGAGTTGTGTGTCTAAAGGATGATTCATCCAGCTGGATCTCTTTGTGGTGATTTTCCGACAACTGTATGTAAGGGAGGAGGAGAGAGGGAGGGAGGAAGGGATGAGTAGATATTGGTCGAGCAGGGCGGGAAGGATTTTGGGGATTTTAGCAAGCCAAAGTTAACAACAGTGGAAACTAGAAATATGACTTTAGACCCCTGAAATGGAAGAAAATTCTGGCATGAAGAGAGACAGTTTTTTTCTGGTACACACAGAGGGGTATGAAGTAAGGAATGAGTTCTCAGAAGTGGCAACTACAGTATCCTGGTAAGAGCCAGAAGGAACTGGCAAGAAAGATACTGGCTTCTCTTCTTATTCACATCTGTGAGTTCTGTATTAATCTGCAAATTTTCCTTAAAATAGGATTGCTGTTTCTTTAGGCTTTCCAGGTAAAGGTGAAATCTGGTCTTGTAGTTTTTATTCTAAGACTAAGGCATTTCTAACTTCAGTGCTCTTCATATCTATAATTTAAATGTCTCATTGCTCTGGTTCTGGCTAAACCAGCAGAGGCAATGCCATCCATTTTATAATTTATGAGAATGCTTAAAGATTTAATTGCATAAAGCATGATGATAAAAATCTGCTGTCTGAAGATATGATGCAGTAAAGTTTCAATGTAATTTGAATGGAATTAGGCGTGTGTCCCTGTTAGAGCTAATAGAACATGAGTATCAATAGTTCTCTGCAGGCTATTAGGAATGAACTTGACTATATCTCTACTTTTAGAATTTTGAAACCCACTGGCATTATTCTACTGAAAAATTAACTAAATTTCCTTGAAGTCATTTGATTTTTTTAAAAAAGTCAAACTATTTTGCTTATGTCCTTCAGTGGAAGGGAATACTTTTTTGTAGAAATGGTAGAAGGGATATTGGGAAGGGGGAAGAGAAATCCAAGACATGTGAGAAAAATTTTTGAAGGACACTTCTTTCTTCTAAATAAATGTACAGCTCATGGTCCAGAGATATCAGACACCAGGGTTCTGAGAGATTTTATAGATAATATTGTTGATTATCAAGAATGGGAAAATATACTAAAAGATTTGAACAGGGAACTACCATTCCAATTGTTAATAAGGAGAGGAAAATGGATCCTTTATAGTCAGTGGATATGGTTCAGAGTTGTGTATGAATTTAGAAGGGGCTTATAAAGGGGTAGTTTGTAAGCTCTTATTAGAGAAAGCAGTGATCCTTTGAATCCACCATGAGGTCACCAAGAAAAGTTCTGTCAGACCATTTTTTTCCTTGTTAAGGGAGATTGGGGAAATTGTCTAGGCAAAGACTGCCCAGATCACAGTATTTAATTCTTTTTCCCAACTATCCTTCTGTGGCACATGACACAATTGATTTCTTTCCCATTATTTTTTTGAAATACTCTTTCTCCATAATTCTATAGAAAGTTTTCTATCTCTGACTGCTCCTTGCAATCTTTCGTTTCATTTCCCCATGCCAATATAAACTATGTCCTAAATGTAGTAGTGTTCCTGAGCATTTGATCTTCTGGATGACTTCACTAATGTCTATTGCATAAATTCCTACCAATTAGCTCATGATTCCTAAAGCTGTATCTGAGCCCCAAACCTCTGCACTTAGATTTGCACAGGGACCTTGAGCTCAACCCATTCAAAATAAATGGAATTCTTGTACCCTCCAGCTGCTCTCCTGCCTGAGTATCCTTGTCTCTGTGAACTTCTTTGCCTAGTTACCAACGCCAGAAAACTGGGTATCATCCTTAACTAGTATCTTCACAGGCTGAATGAAACAAGACACATCTTTCCCAGAGATAACCATGAGATACTGCACTAGGATCACCCAAGACCCCAGCCAAGAAAGCAACCCAGCTGTGTCAGTATGTATTGCAGGAAGTATGACTTAGCAGCACTACACAAAAATCTCTTCAGTGCTTTTGCCTGATTTTTAAATTCAATATGCATTAGTAGTTTGATGTGGCTGCTGGAGAAGGCAATACTTCCTTCAGCTACATCAAGAGAAGAAAATCTAGAGTGAGCAAATGATGTCTTCAATCTGCTCCTGATGCCACACTTGAATAATACCATGGGGAGGCTGGAATTGCTATGGAAGAGAGAAGCCATGCTCACTTACTATGCAAGAAATGGCAAGAATATTCTACAGGCCATTAAAGATCAAATAACCTCCAATAGCCCTTTTAAATCTCTTTTTCTATACATGCATTACATTTCTTATTTCAAATTTTAAATAATGGCATTTAATGGAAATTAATTTACATTTTACATCTTAAAAGTAAGCATTGTATTTTGATTTTACTCATAGGTGTATTTGTGGGGGACCAAGTTGCCATGGATAAGAATTTGTGAGTTCGTTTGTTTCCCAATTTGGGATCTCTACCCACGCGGTGGAAAGGGAGACAATTGCATTTATGACTTTCCCTTCTTCACACAGTTCCCCTGAAAAGGAAGGTGGGTGGAGGAGGGGATCTAATCAATATAGATCACTTTCATGTTATGTCGTTTAAGGAGAGACTGCACAGTAAAGGGGAGGCACCAGGTTCGGAGACACCTGCTTTTTATCTCCTTTCTGAGTCTTACTTTCCTCCTCTGTAACATATAGGGCTTCCGTCCCAGCCTCAGAAGCCATTAGGCATCGAGTGGCACACTTGAAGTAGGGGTTATAGTTGGCATTTGACAAATGCTGTCTTTGCCCAGTGGCCATAGCAACCCTGCAGAGGTTGGGAGACAATCGCCTGGTAGTGAGGGAAAGTCTGGAAGCTGGCTTAAGGCAGGCAGGGGTTTGTCTCCGTGCTTTGCCTCCTTCTGTGTCCCTTCCCGTCAGCTTCTATTTTAAAGATGGTGATTTAACAAATAATGGAAATGCTTCACAGAGATCCTATTGTCCACACCTGCATTATTTCTGTAAGTAAGGGGAAGGCTGGTGGTGACATAAAAGGTGGGATGAGGAAAGCAGCGATGAGTTGGGTGGGGGGTGGGACAGGGCAGCGGCCTAGGGAAAAGGAGCAGGGGGAAAAATTTTAATCTGACTCAATGGCTGAGAAGAATCTGTTGTAGGCGATTTGGGAGGAGATAAATGTAGAGAAAAGGACACTGGGGAATTTGAAATAGAACAATAGCGAACAAGATAGACCGGGGCTGAGGGATCATGGTAGACAAGGAGACCCAACAGAAGGCCACTAGAACAATAGAGGCGTGAGAGGGAGTGGGTGAGTGGGGATGGGGTGGGGAGGGGAGGAATGGGTGCCAGCCTGACTGAAGGACTTGGTTGCAGCAATGGACGTGGCACGTAGGACGAGCTCCCACTGAGAGGGGAGATAGATGAAGCGAATTATTATTTCATACACTTGCTTCTAACACAGCTGGCTGACTCCGACCTGAATGAGGCCCCCTGCTGCAGACATTGTCTGGTCTGATCGCTTTCCTCTCACTACCAGTGAGTTCTTCCAGTTCTTCCAGTTATAACCTTTGGGCCTCCACTGGAAGGTTTCCCGGGAAGGCAAAGGAGGAAGGAGTAGCTCCCTTTCCCTCATTGCAGGTTCCAGTGGATCCCCCCATGCGTCACCAGTCAATCTGACCCCCTTATTTGCAGCATGGAGAGTGGCAAATAGACAGATCGCCCAATATAGGTCAGATTGGATTCTGACTCTGGCTGGGGGCCAAAACTACATTGTCCCTGGTACCCAGGAGCTAAGGTCTGATTAATGGCTTCTCTATTGAGTGAAAGCCCATGGGGATGAAGAAGATTTGAAGGGCAGAAGTCCAAAGTGAACTTGGCTCTGGAACACAGTAAACTTTATTACTTTGTCACTCCATGTTTTTTTTTATTCCAGGGATTATTTTCATTTTTCTTTCTTTAATTTTGTTGTCATACCTGGAAGAGAGAAAGATACACATAAAACCAACATCATGGACAGTAGTTACATAGCCTTAGCTGAAAGCCTAGTGATCACAAAACAGCATCTCAAATGAATGAAAAAAAATTGGAGGAAACACTTCTATCAGTATTTATATTTGAGAAAGTTAGCTTTCTGTTTCCAAAAAGCTAAACAGGTGATGATTCACACATAGGCAGACACCTCATTTTGAGCAGCACTTGGCTTATAGCTATCATGGCCACTGGGTCAGAATTCACTTTTATTGATGATGTACATAAATGAAATTAATCATTGACCTAGGCAATCAATCTGCATGAAGCTGCTGTTTCCTTTTCTTTTCTTTTCTTTTCTTTTTTTTCTTTTCTTTTCTTTTCTTTCTTTTCTCTTTCTTTTCTTTTTTCTTTTCTTTTCTTTTCTTTTCCTTTCCTTTCCTTTCCTTTCCTTCTCTTCTCTCCTTTCTTCTTTCCTTCTTTTCTTTCTCCATCCTTCCCTCCCTCTCTTCTTTCTTTCTTTTTCTTTCTCTCCCCACTTTCTTTCTTTCTTTTGATTGTGATTTCATGAGTTCTCTTGGCCATGAAGGGAGGACTTCCTATTTTCTGCATCCTCTTGGATGCTCTGATATAACCACAACATTGAATCCCCAGCTTTGTGCAAACACAAATACCAAATAGACACGTTTAGGCATTCACTGAATACCTCCTTGAAGGATAAAGATTGGTATGTAGAAGAGTCCAGAGACTTACTCCTTCCCCTCAATGAGCCAAAAGGGAAGATGGCCAAAGACCACTGTTAAACACACAACAAAATAAACACATATATTGTGAAAGGACCACAGGCTGCTGAGGAGATTACAAATCTGCAATCAATTCCTTCAGTTGTACTTCTGAGATACCCCTTGTAGGTTAGCCTTCATTTTGATTCACATTATTGCTGATCCAGTGTAGGCCAGGCAGAAAAATTACGACTCATTATCTTAGGCAGGGAGCTTTGAATAGAAAGCACCAGAAGCTAAATCAAACGAGTGTAAGCAAATATAAAGAATGCTATTACAAGGAACC